TGGAGGTGGTGAAGTGGGTAAGGGTTGGGCTGAAGCATTTCATTGAAGTACTGGTACACGGGAAAATAAATTGAAGGCTCAGAAAGATCACTTGAAGGGCACGTTAGCGTTTCTGCAACCCCCCCCCCCGGTCTCAGTTCTTGCGCTACAGTTTGTTACGTGGCTGCTTAGCGAGAAACCCAGCTCAGAGGTAACTAAAACTTTGCTGTTAGCATTGCTCTGCAGTAACAAACTTCTCTGCGTTCCCTGGCACAGCCTGTCTTCTCTGTCCTCCCCCTTCTCCACCCCACAGGGAAATATTCTCATGGGGGTAATTAATCGCACTGAAGTTGTATAAATTCACATGGCAATATTTAGCCATTGCACAGAAAAAGTAATTGTTTGGTTAATCAGGGGGATTCCCTGGTAGATGTTTGGCATTCTAGAATCTCTTCTTATTTCTTGTAGTCATTTGGAGGAGTCCCCTAATTATGTTTTTTCACTTCATGAGCAGTTGCCCAATGAATAAGACAAGACTCTGATGGCGTTTCTGTGTTCTGCTGGGTAATCACATGATGTAATTTAGTGTTATTAGGAGCAGCACACAGAATCAGTTGATCAGAAAACATTTTTTGACTAAATTATATCTGAGAATAAATTACATACTTGTTGTACATTCATTTTTTTAACAGTGGGAATAAGTAGATATACTGCTGTAACCATATGTGTAATCTAGCATGATAAATTATGATGGTCTGGAGTCATGTGTTAGTGGCTAATTTTCTGCTATATTGAGATTATTGTCATTATAACTTTTCAAAAGTTAATCTGATCTAATTTTACAGAATAGTTGTATTTTCTAGTTATTCCTTAATATTTGATACCCTGTTCTCTGCTCACTTTCCTTTTTTTATTCTTTTTCCCCTGATCTTATAGGGTCCAAAAAAGAAAAAAAAGGTAGGTAGGCAGAAATATGCTCTAGTTCACATACAGCATTTTGACCCTTGCAGTGTTCATTTAGCTAGTGTCCCAGCACAATTCTGTTATTTTGGAATTTAAATAAGTAAAATTACAAAGCAATTCATACTGATATTAAAGTAAGTGTCAGTTACTTCTGGATTTAATTTCTACAAAGCATAATTTTTAAGAAGTTCTGTCTTAATAAAGGTGCCGTGACACCATAATTGTGTGCAAATGTGCTTTTTAAAAAAGAAAAAAGTGTGGGTGGTTTTTTTTGTTTGTTTTGTTTTTTTAATCTGTATTTCTTCTGAGCCAGCTGGTCAGGCTCAATCAGGTTTGAAAGAGGAACAGGTGTCTCCAGGACACTAAGCTGATGTGCCTTTTGCAGGGAGGCCGAGTTGTGTTCCTGCAGAATTACTAGAGAGACGGTGGCAAGTGCAGCCGCTCTGTGTTTTGCTTGGCAACGGGTGTCCAGGCAGAAAGCCAGTGTCCTGGCTGAGCCGCAGACTGGACACAGAACATGATGGGTAGGGGGGACAACAGACAGAAGTCCACAGGGAAACTGGATTGCAGAAATTCATGCCTATGGATTATTCTTAATTCAGTGATAATGAAATTATTCACCCCTCCCCCAAAAAGAATACATTCAAATGTATTTCTGGGAGAACCGTGCATCTCAGTTTTCTCAGTACTATGTTAAGTCATAAGAATGTGAAAAGAAGTTGACTAAAAAGTAATTATAAGTAATTGAAAGAAGCAGATTTTCCATTTTCACTGGAAGAAAAGTAATCAAATATTTATTTATATATTTTTTTAACTGGAAGGAACTAATTCTTCCCTGAAATCTTAATGGGTAGAATTGTGGTTTTTATTGACTCTGTTCTAGGAGAATTTTGCAAATAAATGCTTTGGTAACAAATGTGACAAGATTCATGCTGACTTTGGTGGGTGTATATTTGTTGTTGGGACTAAATTCTCACCATTGTTTTCGTTCAAACTTCGTGATAACCTTTGTATTCAAAGTTACATTTATTGCTATGCACAGTAGTGTAAAGTGAATAGCTTTCCAAGTAGTTAGTTATATCTGAAAATATACCAGTCAGAATCGGTATGTGAAATAACAGTATTCATAACACACTTTTTGTGTGATCAATGACAAAGGTTCTCCTTGTTTATTTTTAAGTTCCCTGTCAATTGGATTACTTGTAACAGTATTTACCAAATTATTAGGAATACTCAGGGCGAGTGGGTGGGAAGATTTTGTAATATCGTTGTGTTCATTTGCAACTGTCTGGATTTAAGTCCTCTTTCAGCTTTGTTGGACCTCTCTATTGGCTGATTTACACCCCTGCAGTATGGGCACTGTGCTGCTGTGCTGGTTTGGTACCATTACTGTACCCATTTCTCTGTGGAAGAGGAGGATTGGATTCCTAACAGATGCCTTTGATCCTTAGCGCTTATTTACATTTGTGATACCATCTGATTATATTCTTTTGCTGACCCTGTGGATGAAACTCATACTGTTTTAGTCCTTTTACCTTACCTGACTGAATCCCTGTAAGTACTTGTCTCTCACCAGTGATGGTGTGGGGACTTGGGATTCAGCTCTCTGATATGCAACATCCAGGGTAGATGCCTAGGTAGAGGTTGTGTCTCCTCTTTTCACATTGTCTCGCCCTCAACCAATTTATTCTTGTATTCTATGATTTTAAAAAGTAAACATTTGATTTAATTTAATGCTCTTGTGCGTGTGTCAGAATACCGTTGTTCAGCCAGTACACACATACGCCACCAAATGCGTGTAATTTGATTTCCTTGACATCTTGTCTTTTGTCATTCATACTTTTGCTTTCAGCCTTAGTTTAGACTGCTGTCCTTCTTTGTTTCCTCTGTATGCTGGAGCCTATGCAGAATATTGTGGTTTATTTTCTCATGTATAAAAATAAATATAGCCTTATCCGTCCCACTTATAAACAATAATATTGGCTGTGAATTTATTTTGCCTCCTTGTTTTTACAAGCTCCACGAACTTGTTTTGGTTTACTTCCTGGCCCATCTTCCCCCCAGTCCCCATCTTTTTTTTTTTTTTTTTTTTTTTTTTAAAATCTGTTGTTTTCAGGCCTTGTCTTTGCAGCATCTGCCTTCAGGAGCAGCACTCCTACCTGGTATCATTTCATCAACCTCAGATGGAGTCAAGGCACACTGACTGCAAGTTTATTATGCATGCAATACAATGGCAGTGTTACCTGTGTAAACACTGAGTAAAACTCAATAAAGATAATTTAGTCCTTAGTAACCATGTGCTTGGTGAGGATTGCAGCCTTAGATTGCTTTAGCTACTGCATTAACAGGAAATCAGTGTTTTCCTCGTGTGCATGATTACTTTAAGTGCTGTTTTCTAGTGACAGTGCTGATCCTACAAGTTTAATCAAACGTCCCAAGACTGTCAACACAAAAAAAAAAACAAACCACAAAACCCTCACAAAATTATAATAAAAAATAAAAACATATCCAAGAATCTTCCTTTTTGCTAGTGAGGAAAAAAGTGAGGAGCCAAATCCAGATCTTCAAATCCAAAGAGAATTATCCCAGCTATTCAAGTCTCTTGAAGGAAACATGGCCTCAGATGCACAGATCCAGTTACCAATTTTTTATGTGTATCATCAGTGAGGAATCTGTGAATGCTGTGAATTACAGGACAAAAATAAGTGTTCTATTTTGGTTACTCTGTTACATGGTGGTAGATTTTGCACGTTGCTTACCTTGTCTTTTGGGTTTTTTTAAATGTTTACCCAGACTGCTAGAAATTGATAAGAAAAATAATTTCTGAGAAACCCAAATTTAAAATATAGGTATTATAGGATTAACCTAGAGGTTGAACGGTAAACTGTCTTGAGTTGCAGTTAGGATTTTATGACAGTAAAACCAACTCTTTGTTAGTTGTCATGTGAATTAGGTGCTTTTACATGCCAGACATGCCTGTTTCCTAAAATACATTTCCGAGTATTTCCCAAAACGCTTGAAATTGTAACATCCACTTCCTTAGCAGATCCACCTGTTATTCAATTGCCACTTTAAACCAAGAGATTTTACTATTCCCCTGGTGTGGCTGCGTTCAGGAGAGTCTAGCATAGAGTAATATATTAATTGTAAGAGGATATAATGCATCATGAAAATGAGAAGAAAATTGAGTCCAGGATGTGGATTGCCATTCTGGAGGCTTCATTGACTGTGTAGGGAGTCTAAAATCTTACTTCAGGGATCAGAGTAGAAGCGCAAAGTTATAGAGGGCGAATACCTCACAAAATGTATTAAAGTAATATTGGCATTTGTTTTCTTTTCATTTATTGCAAACATTAAGTCCGGTGGCAAAAAGAAAGTTAACAAAGCTGAACAACTGAGATTACAGAAAGAAGAAGAAGAAAGGAGGCTGAAAGAGGAAGGTACTACGCGCTTTATTTATAGGAAATGCGATGGCACAAATCACTTAATTTAAACAAATGGGCAGAAAGTGATTTCCTAAATTGTATGTGCATCAATATCTATCTCTATTTCACAAACACAGGTGATTCCTCCCTCTTTTCTTGTGTAGGCAGAATTCTGTGTTACTTGTTACAGCTTCCCACATCTCACTTTCCTATTAGAGCCATGCTCTTTTCTCTAGTTATTTCTACTGCAATTAGGAGCTTGGGAAGGAGGATGGATGGAGGAATTAGATTATTATTTTTTTCTCTTTTACCATTACTTTTTGAAATATTCTTAGCAAGTTATAAGATCATAAAACATTGCATTTCCCCAACCCCCAACAGTTACCAGTAGTCAAGAGAAATTCTCTGAAAAGGACTTTTGGACTTTTTCCAGAGAAGGCCAACAGAATCTTTCGGTTGGCAGGGGGTAGCTGGTGTTCTGAAGGGGTGGCAGTTAAGGTGACTACAAACTAGGGTAGATGAAAGTGTAGTTTGCTTGGGCTTCTTCTCTATCGAGTGACTGATTCTCCACCCACTTCTTCAAGATCTTCGTATTGTATATCACTGTAACCCTTAAAATGAAATCCCAGTTGCTGGACTTGAGCTGTCCTCCCCGTCTGAATGTGTCTGCTTCTGCAGTTTAGTATCACAACGCAATATCCCTGTCTGAACATCAGATCCATCCCCTCTACTTCCCTTTCTGCTGTTAATCCAACCTGGTGGGGGTCTGGGCATGCTACGACTGCTATAGATAGTAAGTAACTACTAATCAATAGTAATCTTTGTGGGTGGGAGTAGCAGCTCAGGTGAGTACAGGCAGAGTTGGGAACTGCCATTGCTCTTGCCTCTGTGCAACACAGTTATATTTGAAGTGATTTACGTGCAGGCGGTGACATTCCAGCCACTGTTTGGGAACATCTGGATTGATGCGTAAGCTGTGCTAGCTTTAGATGAAGGCTTAGAGGTTGAACTCAATTTTAGTTTTCACATCCTCTCTAATTTTCTAGTCCCTGTGGCAGCAAAAAAAGCTAGAACTGTGATAAGGAGTAACTGATCCGGCAGAGGATTTCAGTGAACAAATAGCTGTAAGACTGAGGTATCCACCGAAGGTTGTAGGAAAGAAGAGTAACTTGGGGCTGAACCACTCGGGCAGTTTTGCCGTAGGCATTGGATTAAGAACCTGGGCCTGTTCAAGCTGTAGGTAAAGGGAGAGGATGCTCCTCCTGCTGTTTCTGAAGGGAAGAAGAGGGCTTGGTGATCCTTGTCTCCACTTGTATTGTCACAGGCATGACACGGGTAGTGCCATGGGTAGTGTGTTTTAGTACCGATTTAAATTAATTTGGCTCCTTTGGAAGATTTCTGGGCAGTGTAATGTACAACTTTATGATGCTCATTATTATGGTTGTTTTGTCACTGCAGCTAATAACAAAATAATTTGTCTGGTTTTATTAAGCAAAATATAATTATGCTCTTGATATATTTCCCAATTTTCAGAGGAAGCTCGATTGCAAGCTCAACAAGAAGAAGCCGCAAGACTTGAAAAGGAGAGAATTGAACAAGAGCAGATGGAAAACCTTAAGGCAAGAGTAAGTTCATGCTCAATAGTTACTGAAAAACTCTAATCCTATTTCTAAACTGGTGACAATGTCTCTAAAGCATTATTAATTTAGTGTGAGAATGGAAAGGAATTTCCTTGTGTCCCTAGCATTGGGAGCAATGTATAGAAAATTTTCTAGTATCACTAGATTAAAATTAATTGTGAAAAATCTAGCCAAGCCACTGAAAGGTACTCCTGTATAAGATTCAACAAGTTGAGAAGGTAGTGAATTGGATTAGTGATTGAGTAAAACACAATGCATGTAAAGTCAAGAGAAATGGTGCTGATTTTTTTTCTGTAGTGTTCTTTCACTAAGCCAGTATTTGTCATTGATTCAGAAAAAATCCCTGAGATGAGATAGTCTGCCCTGGTTCTGATAGCTAAAGATGCTGTGGTTTAATACACTAACTTTTGGGATATGTGCTACTCCAGTTTGAACGAACACTACTTATTTTTCTTTCCATATCCACTATACTTTCAACTGGATGTATTTTTTTGTGTTCCCCATAATTACATCTGATACAGTTGTGGCAAGAAAATCTTGGTATAAATTCTAGAATTGGTTACGTGTTAGGGCAGATGCATTGATTTGTGTTCATGCATGTGTCTATATGTATATAAGTGTGTGTGTATTTGAATATGTATGCTTATTTTTCTGAGAAGACTGGAATTCAGCACAAAAACTGATGGGTAATACCTAAAAAATTTTGTGTTTCCAAAAAAAATAAAAGGACATTTACTATAATTTTTTTTTTCATTTTCTTTTTTTTTTCCCCCAGAAAAAAGTCACTCTTGCTTGTGCCTCTTGTCCTTCACAGAATATTTTTTCCCCTAGGGAGAAGAGGAATTTAAAATAATAGAAATTAGAAGGAAAAAAATTAAATAATCTTGCACATGTTTTTCAAACATATGCTTACATTTTTTAGCTGCTCTCATTAGAGCTAGTTCCAGGATGACGATATGGAAACTGTTCAAGTGAGAGGTTAACAATCATATGACACGTTAAGTTTATCATATGGCTCAGCAACTAATGTGATGATAATAACATATTGCAAACAGCTGCAGTCTTCTCAATTAAATGCTTCATAAAAAACCAAGTTATCTGTGTTTGGATTTGTTTAAATGATAAGTCATTCAAGTGTCCCAATTTTTTTTTCTTTGATATAAAATAATTTTAAGTAAACCAAATACTTAACTTCTCTGCTTGATACATGTATATATATTATTTATATATGTATATATATATAAAAACAGGATCAAGAACGAAGGGAGTCTGAACTAGCAGAACTTCATTCACTGGAACAGAAGTTTTTGTCTGCACAACAGTGGAAAACAGATCATAGAGCATGTGCAAAGGTAAGCTTTCTTTCCAAAATCTGCCCGGTGTCATAGAGGTTAGACAATGAAGAGACTTCAGGCTGTGTCACCATTGCAGGATGCGGGAATGCTTCCATTTCTTGAATTTAGGTGTGTGCTGTGACTGCGCTTCAAGTTCCATCTCAAGGTAATAACTGACCATCCTCACTCTTCTCTGTCTTCTATTACTTTTCTGTATATAGAAAAGAAACGTGGCTAAAGAGGAGCCTGTCTGGCTGGTAAAGGTAGTAGAGCCCTGCAACTTACCCCAGCAGTCAAGAGGAATTGTACTTTCAGATGTTCTGGTTATTTGTCATTCCTTTTTTATTTGTTTAATTCATTCTACTTTTAAACATTCCACCGAAAAAAATCTCTACCAGGGCTTAAAAATATTTTTGTAGAATTTGAGACAATTGACAACATTTGTTCCAGTGGTTCCTGGAAATCACAGGTCATCATTCAGAGAGAGGTTTGCCAAAACTTTGAAGGCCACAGCGCAAATCTAGGTCAGATGTCAGGGCCTGAAATACATGAAAATGCTGGTAAAAGTTAATGTCTGCAGTTTAGGGTGACATACACGGAGGTTGAATTATCACCCAATAGTACCATATGCCTGTAAAGTTAAATTTTAAATAATAAGGTATGGAAATACACTAGTAGAACATTTCACTCTTGTAAATCCATCAAACGTCATTTGATAACTGTCTGAACAATATTTGGTCAGTTTGGTTCCAAGTAAGGTTAAATAGACTTGTAGACATAAGGATTTTCTCTTTGTCTTGTGTATTACTTAATCCTTTTGTAAGCCTCTCTGGAACAAATTTAGAATCATAGGATAAATCATATTAGAAGGGACTTCTGAAACTCATATTCTTCAACCTCCTGCACAAAGCAGGGCAAACTCTGAAGTCAGATGAAGGTGCTCAGTTGGGTTTTGAAAATTTCAAAGGGTGGGGATACCACAGTATCTCCAGGCAGCCTAGTTGACTGTTTTACCACTCTCATTGTAACAATTTTCCTTTAAATGCAATTGGCATTTCCCTTCTAACATCTTGGGATCTTTGCCATGACCCATCATCCCTGTGCGCCTCTGAGAAAAATTTGCCTCTGTCTTCTCTATAACCCCTCTGTAGGTACTGGTAGATTGCCATTAGCTCCTCCCTTAGCTTTGTTGGTCCTCTCCAGACTAACAAAGCTCTGCCTTTCTTCATGTGTCCTTTCCTCCAGTACTCTAACCATCTTAATGTCCCTCCCCTGGTCTCTACCATTCACCACCCTTTCTCTTCTACTGAGGAACTCAAAACTGGATGCAGCACTGTGGATGTGGCCTCAGGAGCCCTGCAGAGGGACCAGTGCTGGGCTCACTGGTTATGCTGGTAGCCCGCTGTGCCCTTGGCCTTTGTTGCCACAAGGGTGCAGCATGATAACTTCACAGTTACGTCTTGACACCTTCGGATGATTTTAATTACCTTTTTCAGTTGATGACAAGTTCTGACTTTATTCTCCGTGTGAACAAGAGAATCTGCCGATTCTTTTGCAAGGGGACAGTTGTTGTTTATGGATGTTTCTGAAGAGTATTTCTCAGAAGGAGAAACATAGGAGTTTTTTTATTTTGAAAGTAACGGCAAAATAGAACTATTATTTTAAAAATAAATCTTCAACTAAATACTGGTAGATTATGGGAAATATCAGAGTTTGTATTAGTCTGTTGTTAAGAATATTTACTGCAGAAGAAATGCATAATACCAAATGCTGAGTTTCCACATCCATTTCTGAACAATTTCAGTTCAGATTAACAGATATGTTTACAAATTATCATGAAATTTATCCTTTTTCTCGAAGAACGAGTGGTGTTATTTTTAAGGGTGTGTTTTCCTGATGATGAAACTGAAGCTCTCTTTTTAAGTGCAAAGATGTAAAAAAAAGAAATCAGGTGTTTTAATTAGTGAAGACTGATCAATCTTTTTTACAGGAGATTCCAGTGCACTGAGCACTCACCATTTATTGCTTTTTTTTGAAGTCAGTGGAAATGGTTCTGGAAGTGGTTGGGAATGCAATTATACAAGCGCGTTTGCTTTAAAAGATCCATTTTACATTGTAATGCAATCTCCAATAACATTGTGTTATTAATCTTCACAGTAAACAGGGAGGTAATGTTTCCTTAATATCTTACTCTGTGGATGAAAAACATTACATTATTGGTGATAAATTGATCCCATGACCCAATGTTAGGCTCATTTGTAGAGTTAAGTGGGTTTAGCCTGTTGCTGATTTCTTTTTTGTTGTTCCCCAACCTATAAGAATGACCAATCATTGGTTTGAAAATAAAATTATTAAAAAAAAAAATAATCTAGGGTTTCATGTTCCAATCAGAGGTTTCTGTGACAGCTGAATTGGGGCTGGTAAGGAGGAGGAAGTCTCCTTCAGAGGCAGAGAAAGGAGGAATAAACATGTTTGCATGGAAGGCTCTTAAGCAGCTTTATTGCCAGTGTAGGAATTTTCAGTTTTCTTGGCAGTATCTGGTTTGAGAACCATCTGCCTCTTCCACCTGCACCGGTGCCTCATTTATGTTCTCAGTCATTTTTTCTTTCAGCCCCTCATTTGTGGCAGGTACTGAATTCATTGCTTTTGCAGCCGTGCAAGCTCTACCTAGCAGAACAGAGAGCACTGATAAATGAGTCAGCACAAACAGCAAATGTTAGGTGGGCAGAAGTATCTTAACACATTAATATCAAAGTAAACCTTCTTTTTTTCTGGCATAGTGATAAGCCAGGTGGTGTTACAGTCCTGTTTAGATGCAGGTGTGAATGTATCACTATAATATATTTGCCTTTTAGAATCCTCCTTTTTCTTGTAATAATGATAGTCATTTGCACCACATGCCCGTATCTACTTTTCTTTGAATGTTTTCTGTAGTGGGAGCATTACCTCCGTTGTGATGGAAGTCCTGACCCAACTGTACTGCAGGAAATAAACACTTTCATGAGCTTATGGCGTGAAGATCAAAATGAGGACATTCAACTTGTGATGCAGAAGGGAGAACAGGTTCTAAATGTAAGTGTTAAAATGGTATTTTTCAGTTTAAGCTTACCAGAACATATCCTGAGTATCCCCCTCCTCCTTCCTTTTCTTCCTCTTTTTTTTTTTTTTTTTGTGGCCAAGTGACTGAAATTGTCTATAACCTTCAAAACCCAGAAATTTTTCTTCAGTTTTTACTTTTTGTTTAATTACAGATTTATTGTTAAATCTAAAGAAGATGACTATTGACTTTAAATATGGAGTGCATTTAAAGGATTTGTGTGTAACATTTCTGACCTCTAGTATTCCAACATCCGTCTTTGCTGCTATATACACTTTAAACAGTCTTGAGCCAGAACATGTAAGCTCATGTCATATATAGATGCTTCAGTGGATGGCAGCCTTATTGTGTAATGCTTACAGCCAGTGAAGTGTCATGGAAGAGCAGGAGTTCCCAAAATGCAAGCCACCAACCATTGATGGTTTGTAAGGCAGTTTTAAGCAATTTGTGGCTGCTCTGTAAATGTAGGATTTTATTTTCATTTATGCTGACTTTATAGTGGTTTTTCAGAAAGTTAAATGGGGTCTTCCAGAAATTGGGGGTGAAAGTCGCATGTGTAATACAACTTTCATTGGGCTGCTCTGGTTCCGAGTGTTAGATTTCCTATCTTGCAATGCTCACTGGGTGCTGCAATTTTCACCTTCTGCATACTGGCTTTTTCTGAGCCGGCGGGGAATGTGCTGGTCCTTTCCAACAATTTCAACAGAGAGCTCCTCCCTTTCTCTTCTACACTGCAACCCAAGCAAAAAGCCCAGCAACTGCCCACTTCTGTTCCTTCTCACCACTCTTCTCCTTGCTTGTCTTTCCCACAAGCGCACTTCCTACTCCTGCTGTATGTTTCCCATCCAACGCTGAAGCGGTTACAGCTACGTCAGGTCCTGTAAACATATACTGCCTTGTACTGTATGCTCAATAGAGTATTACATGACACTAGAAGATAGGCATTTCTGTTTCACCCCTGCTGGAAATGCAAGGTGATGTCAAAAAAGATTGTCTGTCTTCTCTTGCTCTAACACACTTGAGCATTTCTTTCCTCTTCCACGTGTTTTTGGAGGAAACTATCGAACGCTCTGATCTGTGAGAACGTGGAGATCAGCAGTTCAGAGTTGACAGGGACCACCTCACTGTCAAGGTAGACTGTGTTAAAGGTGCAATATGACGAAGACAGTAGTAGTTACAATTCTGCTGCTGCTTTGCCACATCTTTGATGAGCTGCAGCACTGCGTTCCACAGGCTAAAAGGAAGAAGAGTCTGGCAAGTCTGGAAGGGAGGCATAAAATATAATCCGATCCTCCCTTCGTCGCAGTGCCGTAGATCACTTTGGCCAGCTAGGAATTTTCTGGTTCTATGCAAGCATTTACAAGCATATGCAAGCATATTAGCATGTAGTGGAAGACAAAAATGTTATGACAGAATTCCAAACGTCACGTTAGGAATTGTTCTGAGAATTAAAATGTAATTACTGTATGTCTTTCTATTTTTATTTTTATTTTTTTAGGATGTCATAGTTGAGATTGTTACTATAGAAAATACGGTTCCAGAATAAAGCTGTAAGCTTTTCATTAAAACTAATTTTTGGACAAAACATTTCTTCATATGACAAGTCTGATTCAAAAAATGAACTATTGCATAAGCTAAGATTTCACAGCCCACAGTTCAAGGAATGCAGGGGTTGGACTAGGGGAATGAAGGCAGGCAGACTTGGCCCTGGAACTTCCAGCACTTTGCGTGATTGACTGGCTATCTGATAGTGCTGGCTTAGCACAATTTCTAGAGATACAACAGAAAAAGATTATTTCAGTGACCAAGATATTTTTAGGTACCAAGGAAGCAAGTTTGCCTTGGTTTTTTATGACTTAACACACAGTACATTAAGGGTGGTGTCAAAACAGAGATACTTTTCCCGTATATCATGTCTTCTAGTTAATTGAGAAGTTGCAGTTTCTTTTATTGGACACACCACCAAATGAGATAACAGAAAAAGAAACAGTCCAGTACCAGGAATCTATTCTGGAATTGCAGAATCTGCTTCATCAGAAGTACAATGGAGCTACAGAGCACCTGCTTAAAGTAAGTAAGATTTATGACTCCAACGTAATAATGCGCAGAGCACATAAGGTTAGCTACAAGTGTCTCCTTGTGGTGGTTGGTTTTGTTTGTTCTTAAACTGTCATAGAGATCAGTATGTGAGTTTCCAAATTTAGCATTTGAATTTCCAAATCATGTGTATAGCAGACACCAGGCTTGTAATTCTTCAAAACCCCTGAAAACCTTACCTTCATAGTGGAAATTCCCATCATTAAGACATTTAAGATTAAATTGTGAAATTTTGTGAAAGCTGCAGATGTTGAAAACAAGGGGCACTGTATGAAATTTGTTTCCTGTTGTTTCTGACTGATTTAAATTAAAGGTAGTTGACTACGAAAAGTTGCAAATGTGAAAAGCTTGTACAAGTTCATATGACTAAAATATTTTTTAAACTAAGATCTTGGGAACAGTAAGGAGTATTTAAGCAAGAAAATGAAAATGTGCTTGGGAATCGGTTTTCTGGGCTGCATGTATAGGTAGTGATCTTGCTTGCTTTTTTAAGTTTATTAATCATATATGTAAGTATGTTTATCAAAAGAATATTGCTAGAGGAAACAAAAAAAGGAAAAGGATTAAAGGAAATATGTTCACGGTCAAAATGCTCTGCAAATTAAGAAATTAAATTTTTGATTGTCTTTACTGCATTCAGGATTACATTTCTAATGTAATTATCATTTCACAAGTTTTATATTGACAAAATTATAAAATAATCTGTGCAGTGGCTGTAGGATAAGAGTGCTTTATTGCTCAGTAAGTCCTTTTTTTCTTTTTTTAAACTTCTCCTGAGAAGTACTTTTGAGGGCATGTGATTAAGGGAGATAGGCGGAGATACACAGTACCATCGAAGGGGATAATGTAAGATCCCACATTTGGCAGTATTTGACTGACAGAATCAATGAAGTCAGAGGAAGAAAAAGAATGTAGTTCAAATTTTAACAAAGAGATTTCAGTTTATAACTGTCATGTTTTAGTACATAAATACAACATACCTGAGTTTGGTCTGGTGTACTTTTATTCCTTCATGTCTTTTTGTATTTATTCAAGTGTAAATGTAAGTAAATCAAAGTGAGATAAGTAAGAAGAAAACATGATTATTTTTCTTTGTAGACAGCTAATATGTATGAAGATTCTGAAACTGGAAATATGCAGGCAGTCATAAAGGATAAAAATGTTACCTTCTGTATTTGGGCCAATCTGAAGAAGAAAGTAAGGTACAGCAAACTGGAATTCTTAGTTTGAAATGAGGCCTGGCATTGTCTATCCAAGTCGAGTAAACACCAAGAACCAGTTTCTCATAATCTTTTTCATGTTGAATAGCATTCATCCTACAGACTCCCAACTGATGTATTTCATACCGACCTGTTACTAAGGAAGGTACTGGTTACATCAGAGTTTTATTAAAGCAGCAGGAGTGTTTTATATATGTGTATGTGTATAAATATATATCTATAAAATTTGTTTCTTAAAATGAGACAGTAGAACCCTGTTACTGCCAGAACAATTTTTAAAGGAAAACAATAAAACTCATGCAGAGAATTGAAATTTCTCGGGAAGTAAAGTTTCTTGCTGATGCATTAAATAGTTTCTAAGCTGTTATGGTTGCTTGCAAAGTGGTGGATGATGCTTTGTGCTCAGTTCTCTGTTAGATAAAAACTTGTAGAGCCTGGGATGCAAATATCCTCCATAGTGGGTTCTGAATCTAAGACATTTTTTTTAATTAGATTACCCTTTAACTGATATATTTTTCACAACAAGATTTTTAAGCAGACTTCCTACTCCCACTTTTCAAATATGAGGAATAAATCGGTAAAAGGACTTTGCCTTGACTAAGGACCTGTTGCTGTAAGCTTTGCTGAGACAACTAGAAGGCTGCGCTGGGTGCTGGGCAATGTCAGACTGACCTGCCAGGAAGAGCCCAGTTGGGTGAATGTTAAAGCCTTTTGATCAGCATAGAGATACACTTAAAATCTTCAACCAAGAATTAAAATATAAATGTTGCTTTACTAGGAGATTTTTAGAACTTGTGACCAGCTGATCTTAGCCAAAAATAAGTACTGTTTGAATTGTTCTGGCTTTGGTTGGGCAGGAACTGCAATGAGCAAGAAACTTCCATATCTGATGAAAGAAGCCAAGTTCGCAAGTTAGATACTTGATTTGTTGCAAGTTGGGCTCCTATGCTGCTCCTAGCCTGTTTCCTACACTGTCTCAAGGATTGGTGACTCTGTAATACTGCTGATATCAAAATTGCCTTTACATCTGTGTATCTCTTTGGGTTTTACGTGGAAAATGCTGAGACTGATGTAACGCAGACAGCTGGTAACTTCACCTACGTAGGATTTGCTTGTTAAATTAGTCAGTTTTACCAAGAATGTACTGTGTAGAAGAGCTGCCATCTGATTCTGTCTCATTGTCATCCTATCAGAACCATTATTTTGCAGATCCCCATAATGCAGTTACAGTTTTTCTGAAGGGACTTAGAGGCAGCTGTCAGTACAAAACAAGAAGCATATCGTGACATCACACTCTAGTTCTTAGACTGTGCCATGTGTCAAAAGAGAATTGAGGTGACTTTTAGTGTAGAACATCAATTTGAATACTTAGGAAGAAATATAAAAGTAAGTGCTGCCAGTCTTACTAGGGAATGTTTGTTGTTTTTTTTCACTGTTATTTACAGGTTCAAAAATCACATGTTTTGTGATGCACAGCACGGATTTGATCTTCCGAAGTCACTGGCTGTGAGCAGCGTTGCTGTTCGCATATTGCATACTCATTATGATCATGTATCGCCGCTTTGGCTGCAGTGTCAGAGTGTGCCAAAATTGGAAGTCTCAGATAGCAAAGATTTAATTCAGCATTCAAAAGACAGTGTAGAAGAACCAGAAGAAGAGACAAAGAACGCCAGAGAAGAGCCCGCCATGCTCGCTGCAGAAGAAATGTGTTTTGATGGGAGAAAGGTAGGGAAAAAAATCTCGCCAAAGGATATTCTCCCTTTCTGTTGTTGCTCGAAGCCCAGTTGCAGTGTAACAGCTTATTAACGTGTCCTGTGCCTGAGAGAGCCAGGTTCTTAAACGTTTTATAGAAAAAGGCGACTTGTGTTAATCGACTGCCATAGACCTTCTCAAGAGAGTGGAAAGATGAATGACCAAAGATTTTTGTAGAGAACCTGTTGTGCAACTTGCTGTAGGTGACCCTGCTCTGGCAGGGGGTTGGACTAGATGATCTCTAGAGGTCCCTTCCAACCCTGACCATTCTGTGATTCTGTGAAGGTAGAAAGGGACATTTGGACCAGGGGTGGTAGTTCCATGCGGTTGGCATGCATGAGTTGGCATTTGGTTGGCAGTTTAGGAGTAGGATCAAGCCCTGAGGAATGTTAGGTGCCATTGTAAGACATTTCTGTAAATCTGTGACATATTTGCTGCTTCTGAGAAACTGTCAGCCCCATAAAATCACTGCAGGAATCCAATATTAGGAAAATTCACAGAACAGGATTCAGTTCAGCAGTTTTTCAGCAGGTCTTGGTTGTGCAGTTTCTTGGTTGCTCGGTGTCTGTACGCTGAAGCTTTTGCCACTAGAGGGCTTTCCCAACGCTGTTTGTGTTTGCTGCATTCCCTTCAGCAGCACTCCTTTGTGGAGCGTGTTGGGTTTGGGGGTTGTGGGGGTTGCTTGGTTCTGTATTCTTGTTAGTGGGTTTGGGTTTTTCACTTTTGGTATCATCTGTGACCTGCAGATAAATGAATCAGGTTCTCTATCTAAAATTTCTGCAGAAATAACTGTAAAGCATCATGTTTTATGCCTTCGTAATACATTTGGAGCAACGACCTTTGCCTTTTTCCTTTTCAGTCCCTGACAGCTTGTAGCGAACCAGTGCTTAAAATCCCATTTTTCTTGGTTCCTTTTTTCTTTTTTGCACGACAAATCTTGTCTTTTGGCAGTTTTCACCTACAGTTTTCAGACTTCCTTCAAGCTCCTCATTTCATTCCTTCTCTTTTCCTTTCCCAGGTCTTACCCTCTTTCTGTCAGTCCAGTTTTGTGAATTTTCGCATTCCTTCTGAAGACTCCACTTCTCTCTGCTACTGCAGTCCCTCCTCCTGTCGGGCTCTGCCTTGGCTTTCCCCCACATTTATGTGCATAAACACTTCTTTCCCCTCACCTTCTGTCCTGTCCCAGGAGATGTGTGTTCTTCCCACGTGCTGGCGGGCACAGCACAGGGCACGGGGAGGTGCCTGTGCCTCCAAACGGGTGGCCCGTACACTGAACCGCCGTTTGTCTACTGCTGTGCTTCCAGAGGAGACAGGGATGAATTCGTATCTGGGTTGCAAATTTGGCTGGGAATCTAGGCTAATGGTTTGAAAATAGAAAACAGTGTGAGAAAGGGAATAAATATCACGGGCAAGGCACAGGCTAAGACTGCAAGTGGGGCTTCTGGCAGAGTTTCGGTATGGCTTTGAATTCAGCTTTGGCTTAAGTTTTCTTTGTGTCACTCCTGTAGCTGTCACATCAGCATAAACAAGTTTTTGAGTGCACACACTGCTGAAAAGGTGAAGTGCTTGTATGGCACTTGAGGAGCTCGAGATGGAATTTGCTGTGGAAATAAAGTAATTATTTTATGTTTATCTGATTTATATATCTGGTTAAAAAGTTGGAGAGTACCTGTAATCAAAACTATTTTTGCTAGCTAGGTAGAAATGATTTCTCCTTAAACTTTCACCCTGTAGCAAGATCAGTGCAAACGTTGCCGAAGTGGGACTGTACTCTTTCTCCTTGGGCCTCCTTGAAGGAGGTGATACCCTCTTCTTTATTGTGTCTGACTAACGAAAAAATGTCTTTTGCTTTTTGTATAGAGTGCTAGCTCATTCAAAGACAACAGCAATAGCGTAGCTGATGTAAATGAGACAGAGGAGGAAACGGAGAAGAAATCAGAAATCTTGGACATGCTGTCAAAAGGTATTTGGTTAGTTTATGTGCAGCACAGAAAAATTACTTATTCTAAATATTTTATTTTATATATGGAAATATTGGGATATAGATATCTGTGTAAATGGAACAAAGTTTCTAAATATATTGATGTTTTGATAACACTTGATTTTTGTTGACATTTCTATTAATGATTGTTAAATGCGGGGAGAAAATAGGACAGATAGGAAAATGGATTTTGTCCCCACACTTATTTTAATTAATTTCTTTATTATTTATGTTTATGTACATGGACATATTTATTGCATTTATGTACATTTGTGTAGTATTATGCATGCATTTATGTATATTTATAGGTGAGACAGACAAACTTTATGAATCTGCCAGGCTGTCTGGTGAGATTGACTTCCTCAGAAAAAAATTATTCAAATGCATATAATGGAAGGCACTCAGATGGTGTAGGTATTACTGAGTATTACTTAAATGCCTGCTTAAACCAAGATACGTGCTGATATACTTTGCTAAAAGAGGGCCTAGTTCTAGGAAGTAAAACTGTTTATCGTCTGTCCCATGTAAGTTAAGTTACAAATTTCTTCAGTGTTGTGGTGTCCTTTGGTTTAATAAGAGTCTGTTTTCCTATAGGACTGCCTTAAATAAAACAACTGCAAACTGTTCAGCATCGTTTAGCTGAACTGTACAGCATTTTCCCTGTTGTAAAAAAACCCAAAAAACAAAAAACAAAAACCAAAACCACAAACAAAACCAACCCACACTTTCTGCTGAGCATAGTCCAAGCAACCACTTGTCAGACTGGACCCTATAGACCACCCAAACGAGATGGTTTTCAAGAGATTATAAAGAACTTTAATAAAGGGCTTAATTTGGAGGAATTTGCAAATTTACTTCAGTGAGGCTTTGAAAATCTCTGCCATAGTATTAGGTGAAATGTGTGTGCACAGGAGTGTACTCGTTACATCTGAATGTCTTCAAGCTTGTTTATCTGCTTTAATAAGGAGATGGGGGCTTATGAAATTATGCTTTTGCTGGCATGCTAATGTGTTGCAAACCCGTTCAACCACTTTTGAGAACAGAGTTTGAAAGGATACTCGGTTACCACAAATTCAGTGAAAACAAGCAGCCTGGTGGAAGAGAGGAGAAAAACCAGGAAAGCAGCAAGAGGGGAACCCGCGACAACTACAGCCGGTTCTTCTCTGGATTTGACTTCATTGTACCAGTGTTAAGAAGTTAACTTATTTTGGGAGAATGAATAGTTTTGTTTAGAAGACTCTTAAATATTTTTGTATTAGTATTTTAAAAAGCAAGTTGAAGTGCAAGCTACCTCTGTGGCTGCTAGTAAAATGGTTTTTACTGCCTATAAATTTTTTGCTCAGAATAACTGCAAAAGGACATTCTGTTGTTTTGTGAATACAGTAGAATACAATCTGCATACTGCAACTAAATATGACATAAAATAAACACCATTTTCACTTGGTTTTTTAAAAAGCCTGAAAACAGCTTATATAGATATTTGTCTCTTTTTTTTTGAGATTGTCTCACTCTCTAAAAGCAAATTTCATAACACTTACAGTAGCTTTTTACAGTATTGAACACTTTTTCCTGATCCCCGTGAATGGTAACTTCTGTCCTCCTTCTGTAACATCCTGTGCAATGTTTTATGTGGGCTTGTTTGGTTTTGTTTTTAAATATTTCTAGTCACTTTTGTCCATGGCATAGATGCCTTCTAATAATGTTTTCCAATTTATTAAAACTTAAATTGATACATATTTGTAGTATATACATAATTATACATAGAAAAAATATGAATTGTCTTTTTCTAAAAATTTTGTTTCATGTTAAATCTGTCTTGCTCTTCATGAATATCACCTGTCGTTCACCTTCAGTACATGACCTGTAGGTGCCTTATTTGCCTCGTTTCTTTTCATACCAATACAATCTTACTAAACTTGTCCAGAATCTACTGTATTGTATACTTGTGAAAGTCTTCTGTGATTAACGATGTGACTCTTTTTGTCAGTAAAACCTTATTCCTATATAAAACCTTTTGTCTTGACTACAAATTTAGAGCAGAGATTAATCTCTTTTAAAAAGCTCAGTACCAAAACGAGAAGTGCTTTTCATTGTCCATCTGTATTTCCCCACATTTCAATTAACTGTTACAAGATTTGGGGAACACCAGTAGATGGTGCTGAAATGCTGCAGTGTGTAAAGCACCTCAAGCACATGGGCTTTTTGTGCAAAAGGGAAAAAAATAGCAAAAGTTGGAAATGTCAGTGTCTTAGTTTAAGCACCAGGTTAACTCATGTTGTTTGGTTATTTGTCTTTTTTTAAGTTCAGGATCCACTGATGCAGGAAAAGACAAATGAAAAAGAAGAGGTGATAACCGATGAAAACGTTGTTGATTTGCAACAGTTTGTACCAGTGGGTGGTGTGTACCACATCGATGCACTGAAGCTTCCACCTCAGGTGAAGCAAATCAAGGACTGGAGTATGGTGGAGGTAAATGAGGAAAGAGATTACACCCCGTGCAGTCCTCTTCCCTGTCATCCTTGAAGCGTTATTCTGAGGCGTGTCACCATGCGTATGCAGTGTACAGGACCAAGTTTTCAAATAATTTTTCAATTACACTGGGCCGATTTTTGGAGCGGTTGCGGGGAACAGCTCAGCCTGCACTTGCAGAGGTGTGTGCTCAGTCAGTGCTCATCAGCATTTTCTAGCACAAGTCGCTGTGCTGGAAAATGCTCTTGGCCAAAGTAAAATCAAAGAGAGAAGTTCTTAGTTTTTCATATGTGAAAGGTACACTTAAAGAAGGACTGTAACAAATTACTGCCAATTCAGTTCCAGGCTCTGTAAGATATTTGAGGACTATAGCCAAGGTGTTCTAGTTTTCCCACTCATGGAGCTTGATGCAGCATTAACCTACATCACAGCTTTTAGCGAAGCTGAAAACCTTTAATAAATGAAATTCCCACGCAAACTAAGAAAGCAGGACTATGGGCAGATGGAGAGGCATGAGATCTTTGTTCCTGGCTGAGCGCACAGACCTGCATTACCAAGCACATGTCACCTCTTCCATTCCCTTTGACAGCGTGTGGACAATGTGGACTTATAGCTGCTTTTGAGGTTTTTTAGAGACTGGATCTATTAAGAAATGACTGTGAGGCACTGCCTTAAGGGTATGCCTCCTTTAAGTGTGCCCAACGCCTCATTGTTGGGTTTGCCCAACAGCACGTGAAGAGGTCAGAGGCCCATTTGTAGTTACCCTGCTCCTGTCTTCAGTGGTGTAGTTGGAAATGTGTAATTGTTGGAAACGTGCTATATGAGCAAACTATTAACACCAATAAATTTTAACTGATGTGTTAGGAAACACCAGAGGTGATTAAGCAGAAAAAAAGTAGGCTACTACATTTTCTAATAAAAATGTTATCTGTCCTTTTTCCCCTCTTGCTGAAGTTACTTGCCGTTGGATTGGAGGCGTACCCATATCCCCCAGAAGAGGCTGAAGATACCACACATCCACCAATACGGATAACCCTGAGGCTTTCTGACAGTGTGATGTATTTTGAGGATCCTGTGGTAGCCCGATGGGATCCTGCAGGTACCAGCTTAGGACATAAATGAATTTTAAGTTTGAATAATGGCATTTGTAACTGAGTGTGAGTATCTCCAGAATCCAGCTGTCATGTTAAGAGCTAATTCAGAGCCCAGAAGTAATTTGGGGACTCCAATGTTAATTGATTTGGGGTTTGGGTTATTTTTTTGTTCTGTTTTGCTTCTGCATCATATCTAATAATGGACTATTTGTTGAGGCTTTTTACTGTAGCTTTTTAATATAAATGGAAAAAAATACACACCATTTAATGGGCAGTAGTACAACTGTACACCACAAATCAAGTTTTGCTAGGGTAAAGCCATGTAAAGTCCACCTTGAGCCAAATTAGCTCCTAACTACATGTATTAGTATTAAGTTAAAATAGAACAAGTAAACGTTAAAAAACGAATGTGATATTCTACTTATTAGAAAAGTACAAAGTACCTCTGACTGTACATTCATGAAAGAGAGTAGAACCTATTAAACCGGTTTGAAGTTACTGTTGAAAACAAGCTTGTGGAGCACCATATAGCAAGTAAAACATGACAGTTAGATTAGTATTTTTATTTCTTTTGAGATTAGGGAGAAGATTTCCTGTCAAAATTAGGCAGATCTTGTACTTAAAGACAATTAAAACGAGGGGAGTTTTTTGCCTTAAATGAATTCTCCTTATTTTGTGACTAACATTTTGTCTTCGCTCCGAATGTTAGTAAAGACATCCTAGATTAACTAACTAATTCTTCCCCGGCACCCATCGCAAGCAGAAGCTTTACATAGGCATATTTTTATTTTTGCATCCCTTTTGTAAAGGCCAACACTGGAGAACTGATGGCATCAGCAACATAACGTATGAAACACAAGAAAAGAGTGTCACCTTTGAGATGGATGCCTTTTACACAGTAGCACTTCTCCAGGCTGCTCATTGCAATATGCCCTATCGGGCATGGGAACTGCGACCTACTGGTGTGGATGAAGCGCTACTTATAGTTACTACAGTCTTTGCCACAGTTCAGATACAAATTAAGGTACTGTAAATAATGTTTTATGAAAAACATTTGCAGATTTTTTTTAAAAAAAAATCAAATTATTGCAGCGTCCTTTATAAAGAACTTGGGATGCTTCCATAAGAGCAGTTTGAATCTCACTCTGCCCCTGTTGAAAGTGAGGGAGGATTTCACCTTTTCTGAGCACTGTAAAGAAAACAACTGGTGATTTAATTTCTGTTATTTTCTTTGAACTGCTCAGAAGAAAGCATGATTGAGTGTTCTGCAAAGTTACAGTAAGTGCTTTGATGTTACCTTGCTGAATTCAAGACTGTTTCACCCACTTAATTGTTCCTTTCTCCTCCTAACTAACCCAAGAGAAAGAAAAGCATTTCAAGCAACCTACTACTAATGCTACTTGTTCCTTCTAAAGGTTAAAGTTACACATGATTATCCATATGCTTGTTGCCATATAAGTCAGTTCAGTAACAGACATGATTTTAAGAGTCAGTATGAGCATAATCATGGGCCACTAGACCAGTGTCATCACTGAAATCCTTCAGGCTGTGTGGATGGAAGTTTACAGCCCCAAATAGCAGATGATGTATGCAATATCCAGAACAGCACAGGTACTACTAATATTTGATGCCTGAAATAGAAAACAGCTTTCATGACCAGTAAGTTGCTTTCCCTGGTTTGTACAACAGGATAATCAGTGTAGGTTGTCTTCAGTAGTGGTGGAAGAGAAGGATGTGCTTTCGCACTTGACAGGAAAATGGACAAGTCCGCTTGACCTAAGAGCAGTTTTGAAAAAGGCTGGTGTGAATATTTTCCCAGGAGAGCATTCTCACAAGTATGTCGCTGTGGATAAGAAGGTGAGTGCAGGAGGGGTTGGGTTTCCTGTCATTTTTTTAACCTATTTTTCACATAGGTAACACTTTTATGAAGGCCTGTTGTGCAGAATCAGGTGGCAAGTATACAAGAGTTCAGGCCATGGTCTGGTTAAAGCAAGCTTACTACATTTGTGTAACACACAATATATATAGTATATATATTTTGTAACTTGTACTTCTGTGTTACAGGCTCCCCTAGCAGAAGTTAAGGCATACCAGGAGATGGCACTGGTTACACCTGCTTTTGCTTTTGCTTGGAGCAAGTGGAACCTAGAAGCAGGTCAAGAGCAAGTAGTATTCAAGGTTTGTGGATTTAGACTAAAGTAAAGAAAAATAGCACAGAACTTAATTGTTTCTATCTCTTTAACTGCAATAAAGTTCTACAAGTTATGTTCATCTCAAACATTGTCTTCAATCCCTGCCTACACTCTTAGCGCAGCAGTTTTAAGATTCAGGGCTGACTACTTAACCGTGTTCAGTAAAACTTCAGAGCCTGCTCCAGAACTCAGACATGTGAGATTTCTAATAGGACAAAGACACATGGTAATGTGCCAGGATGTAGCCAGGTGGCTACTGAGGCTTTAGCCAAGGCTAGGATGTTATAGCTGGATGCTGATTTTCAGGAGTAGCAGCTTACTATAGCTGAAGAGCAGTCTGATCTGAAAGTTTCATTAATAATAACTGGACATTTCATCTTGTCCATACGGGTTTTTCAGCTGTTCCCTACTGTAAAGGAGGGAATAAGCAACTTGAGCATTGATTTGCTTCCATCTGTGAACTAAAACACACATGGTTAAGTATTTTTCTGTCTATCTGGGACAAGTCTCCCAGTTGTGGTTGTAGATACAGAACATACCATACTGTTGAAATCTTGAGAAGCTCTCCTACTCTCTTGAGTTAAATGCACATGACATACAAATATTTAGCCCAATATTTAATCCCAGGAGCAAGAAATAAAACAAATGATGGCTGTTGCACCTGGCTACTGTCTCCACAGGAGTCAGGCACAGCAATAAAGCCAGAGTGGCCAAACCTTGCATTTCACAGAGGCAAACTCGATGTAAGATTTTGGTGTTGATACAGACCCTGGTATGCAGTCTCTGAGGCACAGAGAGATAATATTGTTCTAGGAATTCAAAGCAGCACCTTGGTTTTCTTTCTGTATTACACTCATGAGTATACCAGAATTTAGAATTTCATACTAGAATTTATACTCTGTCAGTGTCATGGGCTCCATCTTACAGTGCCTTTTTTTTTTCCTGCAATAGGTAAGTGAGCACCTTAAAACAGATTCTGTCAAAGACGAAGACTGGTCTCTTTACATGTTTAATGGTGAGAAAGCACAGAAGCTCAAGATCACTGAAACCAGTGAAGCTTTTTCAGAAGAGCTAGAAGATGATTCTGAATTTCACTCCACACTCTACCATATGCTTAAAGACTTTGCCAGCAAAGAAGCAATTGATAAAGTGGGAGCAGCTAGCTTCTTGTTTAGTGATGCTGTATATCAGCTACTCCTTGCCACGAGAGTTTTAACATACTCTTAAATACTGCATGCTTTCCTTTAAAACTTTATTATCAAAAGCTTTTAATAAAGTTACATTTCAAGTCTTGAACCCTTTTCTATTCAAATCATGGGAACAACTTCAATGACTAAAATGCAAACATTCCATTTTTGTTACAGCAAAATAAGTTCTTTATTCTCTTGTGGCTAGACCACTTAATTGTATTTATTGTTAGCTACGTTCAAAATTACAAACTGTTTCATTGTAAGCTTGAATGGAACTAAGATACTTGTAAAGATGACTTGTCAGAAGGGGGGGGAAGTATTTTTCAATTTCAAGTCATGCTTTAAAAAAAAACCAAACAAAACCACACAACAACAACAAAAAAATCAGCAAAAATAATCTCCCAAAACACACCCACAACCCAACCAACCCACCCCAAACATGTAACCTCAAGTACGCTATCTCAGCTTCTCAGACTGTCATCCCAAACTTAGAAGTGTAACTACAAGAGTCAGAACCTTTGTTATACTGGGGGTGGTCCGTTGTGTTGAAGTCCTGTATATGGCCACAACAGTTGCTGTAGTGAAGTCCAGGAGTCCCCCGTTCCGACAGGTGCTGCCTCTGCTGGTCTTTGAAGAGACAGCCCAGTGAGGAAGCTTGTAAGAGCGGCAAGCAGTACCAGGATGGAAACGGAAACCCAGAGAGTTTTGTTAGCATTGGAAAAGGAATCCTTGAAATGGGATACCCACGATGACATTAAATTACACCTGTGCAGAAAAATCAGTCATAGAGTGGTTAAGTTTTTCTTCAAAACTTGGAAACCCTCTTCCCATTCCACTCCCCCACACCAAAACAAACCCTAAAGCAAACTAAACCCACAAACATACAGATCCTTAAAAGCAACAAGGTTGTTACTGTACAGTAGTAGCTTATGTTCTGGGTTTAAAACGCTGCCTTGCAGGTCATTAAGAAATCTTGCTTGTAGAAAGCAGCGAGAGTACTGGCCTTATGTTTTATTCTTTTCTAGGGCTTTGTTACCATCCTTGAGGTTAGGGAGAAGTCTTGCCCTCACTGACTATCCAAACCCTGGAGCTCTCATGACATTGAGTACCTCCAATATATTTGTTCTTTTCAGTTTTCTGCACTAGCATAATTGCCCTGTCTCCCCCTTGATCAGGAATGCTCACAGTGGAGGCTTAGCATAGGGTATTCATATGGAAAAAGAAGTTTCTCTGCAGAGACAGCAGACCTCCTTTCCTGCAAAGCAGGGGCTTCTGAGGGATACTTGTTTAGGACAGCACTCTTCCTTGACGAAAAAAATTAATATATTTGTTCTTTTCAGTTTTCTGCACTAGCATAATTGCCCTGTCTCCCCCTTGATCAGGAATGCTCACAGTGGAGGCTTAGCATAGGGTATTCATATGGAAAAAGAAGTTTCTCTGCAGAGACAGCAGACCTCCTTTCCTGCAAAGCAGGGGCTTCTGAGGGATACTTGTTTAGGACAGCACTCTTCCTTGACTTGAGATATTCCGAGACATTAGCTGGAATAGTCTGGAGTTAGTCTCGATAACTGCTTGTGTCTCAGTGTGTGCCAAAGCTGCCTGTTGAGTTTTGCCCAGGCCTCAAACCCTTGATTGTTTCTACAAGAGTAGATGTTAGCATGACCTAGCGGCCCAGCTATAACAGCTGCCAGCGTAACCAAAAAGAGGTGGGATCATAGCATGAGGCTCCTCTTCACTTCACCATTTAGGATTAGTAATGAGTCCCTGGTGGAGTGAGTCTCTGGTACCTGATGTTACTCATTCCAGGTTGGTTTAAGAAGTTGGCATTAACAACCAAACCAAAGCTACGGCTTTGCTTCCTCTTCCCATGTCCACCACCCAAACACTGCTTTACCTCATGATGACATGACAAAACTTACGCTGACTCTAAGTTCCATTTTGATGAAAGTTTTCCTTTTTCAGAGACGCTTTCCTTCCTTGACGGTTCTTCTTGTACTTCAGCAGGCGATTCTGACTGCTCATTTCTGTAAGCCATCAACAGTTCCAAAGCTCTTCCATCAAGCATTCAATATGACAGAGCTCACAATAGCTTGACTTTATAGCCCTGATCAGGTGGTGGGCAGTTAAGAGTTCACTAACAACAACCCAACCAACCCTGCAGACACACCTCGGAGGAGGTTGCTGTTGAACCTACTTTGTTTCAGGATGTTCATCTTCATACTCCGCCCAGGTATACGTGCTAATGAACCGCTGTAGTGAAGGACGCTTCTCATTTTGCTTTGCTCCCAGTCGTCCCCTGTCATATTTTAAAAGACATTTGCCTTAATTTCTCCATCAGATATATAGCAGGAAAATTAGAAATTCAGCAGCAGCCTACTCATTTGGGTAGGAATTAGACAAATAAGTTTTAAAATTGGTTGCCAGAAACTAGGATTTTTTTTTTAAAAAAAAACAACAAACAAAAGAATCCCCACCCCAAAAACCCCCACAAAACTAAACACCCAGATCCATTGATGCCAGCTGCCTACATTTCATATTTTAGTTCTAAAGCAAGAAAGTCAAGGTAATTTTTTTTTTTTTAAACACTCAACCCTTAATAAACAATGAAAGAAGAGCTGTAACATTTAGTCATGAAGGCTCATTTGCATAGTGAAGCATGTAAAGCTAGTGTTGAGAGGTGTAGGCTAAACATCATTATACCTCAAGATGCTCCATAAGCTGCTTAATACAGGCTCAGTTAGAGCTGAAAGATATTTAACCCTGTTCGAAGAGAAGCCCAAGTAACTTTACCAGCTGCTTGCTCTCCGGTTGAATTTATCACTCCGCTCATCTCCATCAGGTTCATGGACTTGGGCCTGGAGAAGAAGTTTGACGCACTTTCCGCACTGGCATTTTTGCGCTTCAGCCCCACCAGTTTTGAGAAGGTAAAGCGCCTCACCCTCTGGGAACCCTTACTTACCAGTGGCAACCCAATACCTGCATTTCCAGCACTCCTAGGCAATGTTGCAATGCTAACTCTTCGCAGGGATGATGATGGCTATACAAATAAGAGGCATTACTGACTCTATCAAGGAATGACTGGATTACTCACCGGTCACATAAAATGCCATCTGTTTTTATACAAACTGTATAGAAAAACAGATGTCAATACTTAGCTTGAAGTGACACACAAAGAGGAATGAAGTCATAAGCACAGCCCAAACCATAATCTTTAAAGCAGTATCTTTCTACATTAACTGCTTTTCCTTCCTTAAGCATCTGAAGTGAGGCAGGCTACACAGCTTCCAGCAAAGTACCAAAATTAAACGTGTCTAAATTCCTCTAATCATGCTCACAGGAATTCCTACAGTCAATCCGAATTGCTCCCGTCTGTCTTTTTTCATCTCTCTGCACTAACCCCTTCCTCTGCAGCCCCGCATGAGAACACCATGTGGACAATATTTCTTAACCCTTGCATGACACAACACAGCCATCTCAGCTTCTGTGAACACTTCATCTGCTAAGCAGGACCACATGCAGTTCCCCTGGGTTGGTGGGGGGAGATAGGGGTGACTGAAAACACCATTCTCATGTTTGATGACATCAGCCCACGTTCGAGACAGACGACCACCAAGTCAAGCACATAGCAGAGCATCAGCACATGACAAAGCAAAGAAAAAAAGCAGATGAACGCACACACGTAAAATTTCTTGTTAGGCTGTAAGAGCCCTTACCTTAAAGTTAAAAGAATTTGGTAGCTTTTTATTCGTAGAGTCATCTGTGAAGAGATCAAACATCAGAAAGGCTTACAGGAATGCAGTGAGCTTTTTTTTGCAACCAAAGGTCTGACTTTTTGCAATGTCCGTTTAAGTGAAGAGTGTATCAGAGTACTCTCAGAAAGCAGAAACAAGAACTCAAAAAGGCTTTCTATTTCATTAGATAAGTTGTTAATATTCACATGTTATACATCCTCTGCAAGCGTCAGTTTCTGTGGCTATCACTAAATGTATTATCCTACGATGGAGGCAGTGTCCTGTTATAGGACAATCTTTTCCAGCCAGGAAGGGACATCCTGTGATTCAGAAGGCTCCTATGAGGATTTACCAGTGTGTAAGACTGCCCTTTCGGATTTTAAAATACATGCTCTATTTTTCAGAAGAATTTAATATTTCTCCTGGCAAAGACAAGTGCACAGTGCCATCTGAAAATCTGACCACTGTACCATCTGCTTAAGGGTGGTGGTGGTGGTGGGGAAATTCAGAGCACCTGAACTTAAGGCATCAGTAACTTGTATTTAGAAAAGAGCAGGAAACATCTGTTAAAGAGCAGTCAGAGCTCAGCTACCTAGAAATACCTACTGGGAATACTCTCATGTGAGTGAGCACACAAATTTACTGCTCACAAGGATTGTCATCACCACCACATACAACACGCTTCTCCAAAAGCCAGAATGCTGCTGCATACTTGCAATGGTCCTCCCCTACCCCCCGGAGATTCATGACAGTTTACATACACGCCTAATTTCAGAGAGTTGTTTCCAATACTGTTAGTAAATTGCTAATTTTTTTTCCTCTATTTTTAGGAAAGGAGATGCAACAGTCACATAACCCCTCAACATAAAATGTTAGGCTACAATTAGATAAGGGTCTATCTGGCAGGTGCTAGAAGGAGGAAAGACAAAGCAACTTTTCTTAGTTACCTCGATCTCCAAGAGAACTAAAGGATCTCTCGTTCTGGAGCAGGACCTGCTTCAGCTCCTCAAGTTCTGCATGTTCTTTTGCATACATGCGCTTCAGGTTTTCCACGTGTTGAATCATCACTTCCACAGCCTTGCTGACACGGCTCTCCTAACAAAAGTGCAACAGCAATAGAGAAAAAGAAGTGGCTCTTTGAGGAACTGCATCATGTTTAGATTTTAACTTTTTTTTTTTTAAAACCCCTTAACCATCTACTCTTATCTTGCATCACTGTGATTTAGCATCTCATTTTTGTCCACCCTTTCAAAGAGTTTCACTACAACCCATCTCTCAACACATGCCCAGTTTACACAGGTCTCACTTCTCCAGTGATTACACCCTTATCCTTACATAAATTAGTCTTCTTTTTCTGAGCCCTTACAACTCCTCCTCATCTCTTTCTCTGATCTACAGTCTCAGCTGCCACCACGCACTTGCTAGTATTGCCAACTCATAATTCATGCTGTTCTTTGGCATTATACACAATTATGCATAACATTTGAGCAGGTCTTTGTAAATTTCCATAGATTTAGCTCATTAGCTGTCCTTTCTGTAAGGCACAAAATTACCATCAGAGCATCAAGACTATTGTTAGCACATTACATTCTTGTGGTCTTTACTGTATACATCCCTGTGATGCAAAGTTCTTTATTTTATTTTTCCTTGGTGTTTTTTTTTTGTTTATTTTAAACTTGTGTGGTTTTGCACAGTGCTAGTGCAATGTAGCTGCTCTCACAGCACACGGGGTTCCTTACAACAACACAAACCGTGATCTGAGAAGAGAAAGCCGGGACTAAGCTGTACTGGTCAGACACCAGATTCCCAAATCTAAATTTGGAATCAGAAGCCTAGCAAACAGATACTGCTATCCCTTTACATCTAGAAGCTTTTAACTTTGCACAAAATACATTTACATGGAAACAGTTACCTGATTAATAGCTCCCAACATCTCTGCTCTACTGGCAACTCGGGCTGCATACTGGCTAAGGAACTGCAAGCTTTTCTGCAGCTTCTTAATGATCTCCTGTGCTTGGTTGTCTTCTTCACACAAAGGAACTAAAGCCTAAGAGGCACATTGGTAAGAAAAACAGATTGAGCTGTAGAGAAAGAAGGGTGAACCCAACTGATAACACTGAGGGGTTGTGTTCAGTCCCACACTGTCACAAGATCAGCATCTAACTTCCTTGATCAGCATAACTGGATATAGACCTTCAGTGGGCAGAGACTTAAGCTTACCTGGCATAAAATCAGCTGAAGACGGGGGCTCTTGCCTGACACCTGTGCAACAGAAAAACTACCCGCTGCCTCAGCACACAGTACACTCAGATGAAGGCTACCCCTCAAATGCTCTCTTGTATTTCAAACGTATCACTTTTAGGATTTGAGCGCACGAATGTGTAACACGTTATAACAAATCTGAACAAAAGCCGTATTATGGGAGACACTTTCGCAGCCATTCATGCCATCCGCCCTACCAGCCTCGGCCAACACTAACCTCTAACATTTTTAGAGCATTTGTGATCTCCTTTTTCAGATTTTCTTCAGCTAAGTCTCGGGACCTTTCTTCAAGCTTCACTCTCTTGTCCAAGGTAAACAAGTCACATTTAAAACCTAAAGACAACCTCAGAAATTCAGCCTGTTGTGGGAGAGGAAAAGGTTTCAGAATAATCCAAGTAATGCAGAAGCTTTTTAAGTAGATTTGGATACTGACAGGACATTTGGGACCATACCCCACAAACAAAGTTGTAGGAGAGATGCAGAAGAGAAAGCAAACACAGCCCGCTTCTACAAAGCCAGTCTTCCCATCTGTAGCCAGATTAGGTGACATCTTGGCAGCACACAGCGTGCCGTCTGTGTCTTTTGACAAAACTGTCTTAAATCAGCACATTCTGCCTGAGAGGAGGTCACAGCTATGCTCCTTCAAGCTTGCAAACAAGTGTTTCAGTTGTGGCAAATCTTTTGTTGGGTTTTACAGGTTGCCACCTTTTCCCATCCCTTCTGAAGTTTCCACTGGGATTGGAAAGACAGATCTCAGAAGACAACTTGTAGAAATATATCCAGTTTAAGCTACTCAGCCGTATTCTTTTACATAGGACTACATATCAATCAGGGCTCATCTACAAGATCCTCCTGTCGACTGAAATACTTAAGGACACAAGTAAGCAAGACTTACCTCCACTTCTTTCTCATTAGGAGAGTCACTGTAGGATAAGAAGAAGCAATCATGTAACAGACTGCAGCTTTAAATTCATACCTGCAGGTGATCGTTGGAAGTCAACACTTACGGCTCATTTTGCTTTGATTTATCTCCTTTAATGCCACCTGCAGTGGGTGAACTCCCTGAGAAGAGAGAAAAAGAGTTCTCAAACAAAAGTGAAAACACAGCCTCCCCAAACCAGCTTGTGAAAGTCTTTTAAGCTCTAACAGAAGCCACTGTTAAAGATTTCCAGTGTTAAGCTTTTGCCAATAAAAACAATTTGTGCACCTCGGAGTGCATTAGGATTTGTGCCAGTAGGACAGCACAGCACTTTCACATGTACAGAGCCCCAAAAGATAGTTCTTTAGTTGGCTTCAACTGGCATTTAATTAGAATAAGGAATGGCTAATTACAGGTTTTTGGTTTAAGTCTCCAGCCCATGGGTTCAGGATGTTATGTGACTGACTTACTACTAACTTTTAGTGAACTCCAAAGGCAAAAGGCGAGGTGATTAGTAGAGTAGAGATGTCTAAGCACACAGTTCAGCAGAAACATCAGCCTGCTTTTTCTATACCATATTACCTCAAACTGTAACTAGCATAAAGGATGCTGCTTTGCAAATCTTTAGGCAGGTTAGGCATGCCAGAACTGCTTCAAATATCCCAACTCCTAAGAAATTTTCCCACCTGTCTAGAGGAAGATGGAGCTTGTTAGATCAGTATCTGTAGAAATCAGAAAGGTTTTGCATGATAACATCTTCCCTCTCTCCTCTGCTAATCCATTTTGATCCTTAACTGCAGCTACTATTCCTTAGAACAAGGGGTAATGGGCACAAACCTGAATATAGGAAGTTCCATCTAAACGTGAGGAGGAACTTCTTTACTGTGAGGGTGGCAGAGCACTGGAACAGGCTGCCCAGAGAGGTGGAGGAGTCTCCCACTCTGGAGACCTTCAAAACCCACCTGGATGCCGTCCTGTGCAACCTGCTGTAAGTGACCCTGCTCTGGCAGGGGGGTTGGACTAGATGATCTCCAGAGGTCCCTTCCAACCCTGACCATTCTGTGATTCTGTAAAACAACCCCTCCTCATAATAAGTGGCTGGGGG